GGTTTACGTATTTTAGTTGACAATTGATTTTTACATTTAAAAAAAATAAAAAAAATAAATAAAAAGAGTACTACCACTCCCGTTCTTTTTTGATTCGGGCGTGATGCCTAAAAGAAGAAAGTGAAATTGCCAATAAAAAAACATTTGCATGCAAATGCAAAACATAGTCAAAGGCAAGTTCCGTTCCCATGCTCCAACCCCTCAGACGAATTTTCCGGACTTACCATCACGTACGAAGCCAAAGTGGAAATTGGGGCGGGAAAATGGAGGCGTGCCCGCCTCGCTTTTAATTTTAATGCGTGCAACACGCTCGCGCTTTCCAAAAATTAAACGTCGGTTTACTTGCCTCGCCCGTTCTTTGCCTCTCATTTTCTTGGGAAAACTTTAGCCTTCCCGAATATTCAGAGTTTTTTCATTGCGTTTTGTTTTCTTTTTCTGTTTTTTGGTCCAAACAAATAGGCGTCGATTAGGCAAATCAACGCATTTGTATGCAGATTATGTGCTGCTGTAAGGGAAAACAGCAAGAAACGGAGAGACTTGTCGAAAGAGATGGGGATAGAGGAGCAGAACGAGAGGGGTAGACAGCCGCTTGTTGTCTCTAATTGCGCCTCAGTCTCTTAGGCGCTCAACTAGGCGTATGCGTGATAAAAACTGTGAGCAAAACATTTTAGACTACTAATATAGGTAGATAACAAGAAAGCTCAAGAAAGTAGAATTGATAGGAAAAAATTATTATGTGGCAAATTAAAAATATAACAAAACTAAAAAAATCTAAAATATTGTGTAAAATGTAAAATGTAATTTTATATTCAGAGCGATTTAAAAGAAAGTAAATTCAATATATAATAAGGTTCTTTTATTAAAGCATTTTAAAGAAAATTACTATGATACATATGGACAATTGATAGGTTTCTACTTCCCAAACAAAATGTGTCTTAAATCCCAAATTCAACTTATCTAAAAGACAAAATTTCTGGAGAAATAAAAATAAGACAGAAAATTGTGCAATAACCGCAAAAATGTTTCGCATTTAAGGCAATTTCATTGACACTTTTTCAAGGGCTCCCCGAACATCAAAAGCGAAAGATTACCAGTCCTCCCGTTTTCATTCATGTCCCTATCTGCAAAACATTGTCATGTATCATTACCATTTCAATTCACTTGACTTGTCACCCCCCAACTTATTCCACTTTACAGCATCTGTAATTTCCTGATGTCTCCTCGCACGCTTCCAGCTTTAAACAGCAAGGATCTGGTGCTAATTCCGAGCGTGTCGGAATACCACACGCCTAAAATCATCCTACCCCCTACAAAGCCCCCCTCAAAACACTTTGTCCTACCCCTCTTTCGCCACCAATCAATACTGGCAACGTTTTTCGGTGTCCCTTGCCGCGTGTTGAATTTCAATGCATACTTTTAGGCCGTGCATCAAAAAAATATTTGTTTGCCATTTCACATATCACACAAGGACGAAGCCGCGATGTTGTATATGTGCGTGAGTGCACTGCGAAAAATATTTAATGTTAAAAAAACAAATGAAAGTTAAAAAGTAAAAATAAATAAAAGTAAATAATTTGTATATTTTATTGTTTTGATAAAGCTGAAGTAAATTTTAAAAAAATCATTATTTATTATTAACTATTTTGGTGTTTTAAAATAAACAACAAAATAACAACAAACAAATGCTCTTAAAACCGGATTTCATATTGTATGAAAGGCATTTTTAGCAACACCTAACTTTTTGCAGACAAGCTAATCAGTTTATGTTTTAAGCATTTGAATATTTGTTTTTAATAATATATTTGTCTATAATGCTCAAGTAAAATTGTAAAAAAAAATCTATATTTTCCTCCAAGTGCCGAAGTGTTGGAAAAACCTGTTGTTTTTGTTGTTTTGTAAATTCTAGGGTTGCAGGAATCACATGCGTTTGGCATTTGACGCCGCTGAAGAAAAAAAACGCTGACGATGACGAGTTTTATGCCTCTTATTTTTTGCCTTTCACAACGGCGATTTCTTCGCCTTCTCGACTGAGTGCTGCTGCTGTTGTTGTGTTTTATACCACTTGCAAGTGGATTTATTTTGCAATGCCCCAACAGAATTTTAATGGATCCCTCCTCACTCGCGATTTTTTTTTGTTCCCCCCAACGAACGTGTCTTGTCCTCTTCGTACAGAGAAAATGGCCCAACGACTTTTGCGCCTGCTTAAAATTTTACTCATGTGGCAATGCTGGCGCATTCCTTCATAGTCCCAATGCTTTTCTCCCCGGATTTTCCATCTCTTCGCGCCCCGTACAATTTTGCGTTTGCGTTGGGGTCACCAGTTTACAGTTGGTCGTGTTTGTTTTTGTTAATTCGCTGCCTTGCTCCTTGCTTTATGTACATTTCACTTGGGCTGTTGAGCACATAAAATTCGAAATTTAATTAGTCGTGTAGGTAAAAATGACATTTAAAATTATTGCGCCCTCGTTGACAACAACAATAAAAAGATTAAATGTTTTAGGTTTAAAAAGATCCAATATCATACTCTACATTTGTTTCAAAATAAAAATAAATTTAAGAAGAAATTACATACTCTGAATTTATTTTAAAATCAAATTAAATTTAAGAATACATTTTATTGGAGGACTCTTCACCTTGATTAAGCTATAATTTAACAATATAACACTATTTTGAAATAGCTTGAGCTTGAGCTTTAGCAACAAACGTGAACAATTTTCGAAATTGGAATAAGTTGAGTCTATGAATTTGTTAATGAAAACATTAATTAATTGATTTAAATTCGAGATCAAACTGTATTTAATAATAAGCACTAAATTGAAATTCAAATATATTAAAACGGTTAAGATAGAAAGTTTAAAGCGTGATAAATTTAATAGTTTAAATCAAGTCAAATCTGGACTCTTTCAATAGGTAATAACAACTTAAATTAAATGTGTTTCATGTCCGAACAGTCGCATTTTTAAGAGCATTTATGTGCTTTAATTGAAATTTATGTGCACGCGGTTTTTTTATTATTTTTACTTGTCGCTGAATTATACATATTTGCCACATTTAATTATGCACATTTGTATATATCCTCATTTGTTGGCCCTGTGTGCGTATGTATATTAATGTATTTATAATATGGCTTACACGCCTGCCATAACGAACTATTTGGCTTCCTTAATCCGCGTGTGCACATTTTTGCCTGCGATATAATTATTGAAGGCCAAAAGCAATGTATTTGCAATAATCCACAGAGAAAGAGCTGAAGTATTTATTTAACTTTCTCCTTTTTGGAGTAACGATGAGGATGTGACCCCCAGTCACCCACTGGTGACCTTAGCCACCCTATTTCCATTTCCCTAACCATTTCCCAAACCATTTCCATCGCTCACACACATCCACATGTAGTTAAGCTCACCTAAATACATTTTTGCTAGAATAAACAAGCAACCTTGGGTGTTTACCATAAAAAGTAGGTAAACTTGAGTGCAAAAATTGCGTACCAAATGCGGATGTATGAGTTGAGTTCACCACACACACACGAAATGCACATAAAAATGTGAAAACGAACAACATTAACAAGCGACAGAATGGGTGGGCGGAGAAGGTCGAAGGGTTTGGGGTTGTGGGTTGGGCAAAAACAAGTTGTGAGCTCTGACTGAATGGAAACGAAATAAAAATAACAAGCAGCAAACCAGCTAACAAATATCATGCAGAATACAAGAAAAGGCAAAATTAACTCAATGCAGAAGAACCTCAAAAATTCGCAAAGTTTCGGTCAAAGAACGCAACTAAAAAGTTATGTCTAGTTTGACTTTAACAAAAAAATATTTGAAAATAAAATGTACTTTACCAAAAGGATTTTGAGTTCTTAAATCTCAGACTTTCCAAATACCAATATTTTGGTTTGTTTTTTTTTTTGATTTTTATAATACACTTTGTTCATGTACTCAGTTTTTTAATTTATATTTTGATTTATATATTTGTTCCATTTTGGTGTTAAAATCGACCATGTTTGATCAAATTTTCGTAATCAACTTTGATCTTTTTAGCTTTCCCCTTTGTTATACACATTAGAATCAATTTGTATCAAATAAAACTTTCATTTGATCTTCAAAACATTATTTGTCGAACCTATCAACTCAACAATTAAATAAATATAGTTTTAAAACGAAAATTGTGATATTAAAAACGCATTAAATCCTTTTTTTTTTAAATCGGATACCCTGTAAAAACCAAAGGGCTGGCGGTGGCGAAAAGAAAGGCTCAAGAATCTGAGGTTATAGTGGTAAGAATTGGTACAAAAAAAAGAATGAAGAAAAAAAGGGTTTCATCTCTGACGTCGAACACATTACAAGCAAAAGCACTTTTGACAAAAGGAGGCGCCAGCGAAAATAAACAAACAAATGGCAAAAGAAACAAAGACGAACAGACAGACATTCAGAGGGAGACGGCTAGAGAGGTGAGAAAGGGACGGCAGATAGGCCCGCTCATGTGCGTGTAAAGGATTTCAAGGACTATACAACATTAAGCGGGAAAAGTATGGAAAGAATTTGTGCATGAACAATGGTAAGATACGAAAAAAAAACAGACAGAAAAATAAAACACAAAAAGCAGCCGAGAGGAACACCAAAAAAAACCCACACACACAACATCCACTCATTGAAGAGGTTGTCTTCAAAGGGGGAAAGGGGGGAAAATCAACAACTGCGGCTCGGATATGAAGTACCCAATCCACACACAAACGCAGACCGGATGTCATTAAGGTGCGCGTTGGTGTGGGCACTGGAAAAACTCTTACTTATTACTGACATGTTTAAGAAAAGTTTAATTTAATTTAATTTTAAGAAAGATACTAACAATGCAAAATCAATATAGTCGAGTGGTAAAACTTATAATAGTTTGTATTTGTAAAATACTTCAATTCAAATCAGATCAATAGATTTTTTCAAGTCACTAAACAAAAATAAAACTAACAAATTATAAATTAAAAAAAAAAAAGTCTTTTCAACTGAAATGAAAGCATAAACAAAGCACCAATTAAGACATAAGCACAAATCCCAAGACATTTCAAAAATTTCTATGGCCTTCTTATCTTGGCATACAGAAACCAAAAATTTTTCTCTATGCACGTGGTATGGAAATGAACTGCAGTTGGCAGTGTGTGCAACTGAAAATGGCCAAGTGGAATGGCCAAGAGAAAAGTACCAAACAGGAAGGTCGTCGAAGAAAAAGGGTGAGGCTGTGGTAAAGGGGGAACATGATGAGCAACGGCAAAGAAAGCAATTTGCAGAAGCAGCTGAAAAGCAGAAGGATAGTCAAGGAAATGTTTACCAACAGTGCAGCTTTAATTTGACAACAACTTTCAGGGGTCAATGGAAAAGAAAAATTAAAATGAAAATGAAAATGTAAAGAAACCCGAAATTGGTGTAAAATATATTCGAATTAATGCACACACGGCCATAAAGACTACGGACAAACAATACAGGCAACATTAAGCCAGGAAATGGAAATCAGGAGCACGAAAAGTTGCCAATTAAGGAAGGAAAAGTAAACCGCACCTTTGATAAAATATTACATTAAACAGGCATATAAGTAATATCATTTAAGAAATGAAACAGAAATCTATGAAATCATTTATATAACTGACTTTGCCAAAGCTATAAGGGATCCCGTAAAGCGTAAGATCTGCAAGATAAAGTAAAAAATTATATAGTTATGTAATCAAACAAATTAAAACACAAAAACTAACCGAAGTCAGTGTCTCCAAAGAAGGAGAAAAGAATGGAATTTTTATGGTGAGAACTTTTTGGGCACGAGCAACCATTAAAAGAGCCATCTTTTGAACCCGAACACTATGTCCATACCAGTGACTGGAAAATGTAGAACTAGCTAGATCAGAGCACTACGAAAATTAGGAAAAATTAATGCAATATTACTAGTGATTCTTATAATATTTACCGCTTCCATGATATAAGAGCCGCCTAGACAATATAACAATATTTCCGTGCCAACGGCACACGTGTAGACCACGTAAACAATGATTCCCAGGCCAGAAAACTAAGAGATAGAAATAGATTTAAGAATCATTCCAGAGAACTTCGACAACCCACCAATAAAATATCAACCACACTAGTGCCAATAATCAAACTCGAAGTGACAAAATGGGCCAGTGTTATTTCCACCATAACACCCGACAATCTCTGTGTTAGTTCGGCCACCTCGTTATGTCGATCCACCAGTATTTCCATTTCCCGAACTATCCGAGCTTCCTGCTGCTCAGAGAGACTCACTTCGATATTTTGAACCTCCAATAAATCACCAACATCGTCCCGCAGGCAGAGCAACAAAACAGTGAAGTATAAACAGAAGCCCAGGAAGAAACCATCTGCACCCACAAAGCAAACCACTGTGATGTAGCCATGCCAATGCACAAGGATATAGGTGATGGGATATAGCGGCAGTCGTAACAAAATATCGGGGAATCTATAAGAGGATTATTAAATACAAATTTAGCAAAATCCATTTAAAGTTCATTATCTCCAAGGTAATTTTAGTTATGGAAAGTATTTTTTAAAACTTTTAGACTAGATACGTAAATAATAGTTATGAATTAATTGATGTACTAAGATATTGAATTATCCTTAGCGATAAGTCCAATATTTAATACTTATTTTTAAATATTTTTCGCTTAATTTTTCATGCTTGCAGAATGCAAATATTTGCAAAATTAAAACATATGATTTTTTTGTAATATTGATTTGAGTATTTTTAAAAAGAATTTGACATTTTTTATCAGTGCACTCACATCATTTTAAATGGCGTCTCGTAAATCCACTCCTTTCCGTGGGCTCGCCTCAAAATGTTTTCCAACAAATGTCTGACAGAATACGAAGTGCTGGTGCAAAATCCACAGCATAGTAGCAAAAAGGTCAATCGAGTGGCGAGTGTGTAAAATCGTTTCTTATAGCCAAGTTTTCGCTTCGACCTTTGTTGCTCTGTTAAAAATCTCACGCGCTGAATCAAGCTCTTTAGTTCATCCTGGTACCACCAAATCGCGACCATTTTAACCAGGGATAAAATACTTGAGGCCACTGGACAAAGGGCATCCAGTGCAGTGGCTATGTTAATCGGTACATAGTGGATGCCATAGTAAGCTTCTGCATAGCAACCGTAGGTCAGGATGAAAAAGTTGAAGAAACTCCAGAGTTTTATTAATAAAGTTCGCTTCTGTTCCGGATAAAAACCAATCAGCGATAATGCAAACTTTGGCACCACAAAATAATGGCGCTCCATCGGATACGACGTGGTCAGGAATCGAGGTAACATCTTGCTCTCTAAGGACACTAAACACTTTTCAGCTCATAATCCTTTGACCCTCGGCCTTTTATACCCTTAGAAACTGTATGTGTGTATATAGTGTAAATATAGAGAAACACACAAGGCACTTGAGCAGCATAATTGATGAGCTGTGTGGGTGCTATCCTTGTTCATAGTTCGATAAGTTTTACAATTTGGTAACCCCCAATTAGGCAACGTTTTTGGAAAAAGAGGGCGTTAGTTAGTTGGTTTTCGTTAAACGATTTTTAATGACCTATTCCATGAATTTTATGTGCGTTTACCAGGTATATCATTTTGGCAGAGGCGTAGGCACAAAGGGTTTATATGTAAACTTAAATTTTATTTATTTATTGATACCTTTGTTCATTGATTTCAATTAGAATCAAGTTAAGCCTTAAATCAATTGTTTTAGATCAATAAGTTTTTTAAATAAAAAAACGTTTTTACATCAGCTCTCGAGAATAACCTTTTTTTAAATATTAAGCCCTATGTTCGCTGTCCAAAAACCAAATCGGTGGTTAAACAAATTGACTCTCCATCCAAAGGATCTGCAGTTCAGACTTTAGCGTGTTGCCTGCCAACTTGCAGTTTGAATAAATATTTCATAAGCTGTCGAACTCCATGCGAGAGTGTGTGCGATGATTATGCAAACTGCAGCTATTTGGTCTATGCGAGGAAGGCCAATAAATTAATTTAGCTAGATGGCCGACTGGCTGACTTGCTGGTTGAACGGTTGAATGAAAATTTGGGTCGGGGCAAAGATGTTAAACCAACGATGGCGTTGAAAGTCCCGCCTACCTGACGGCTAAGTGCACAAAGAAAAAATATTGGAACTACTTCTAGGAAGTATTTGAGAGTGAGCAAAACCTTATAAAATTTGTAATGGTGATAAAATTATACTAAAATTATGACAAGGGTAAAAATGTCTTAATGAAATTATAAATTAAAAAAAAAAAACAAGTTGATTGAGATACACAATTTTAAAAAGTAAGCTTTTATACAAAAAAAATGTTTATTTGTTTAAGATTTCAAATCAATCTTAAAGGGTAAGGTCAAGTTATTATTACTTTTCAGTTATATTCCTCATAATAGTTTCATCCTGAATCTTTTCAGTTAATTCTTTCTGGAAAACATATTTAGTTAATTTTTTCAGTGTGAAAATGCTCTTCATCTGGATGGCCCCAAGCCAATATCCAAAGCCGAAGCCGTAGACCAGACCGTAAACGTAGCCGTAGACGCCTCTGACGATTCTGACCTGGCAACGGACGGACGGATGGAGAGCTGGACGGACCAAGGGAACTGGCTCTTTGCATAATTGATGGCTGCAGGTGTATTTACGCTCAAATGAGGCATGCTAAACACATGCCTTTGACACTTATAGACCCGCCCTGGCCGGGAACACACACGATATCCTGCCGGACAGCAAAAACCAAGTCTAAAACTTAAGCCCTCGGTTGGCGAGGACACAAAGAAAATTAAAACAAAGGTGTTTGCAAATTTTAATAAAGAGTGTATTATAAATATTTAAAAGCTGATGGCTTTTTATTGTTTTGGATATGTAAATAAAAATTAATTTTTAATATTCATTTTATACTTTCAATTATTAAATTACAATAAAGTGTTGTACGTATGTTTTCTTTTTATCGTGTATATAATTTAATCGAATTTGAACGGTGAATAATGCCTTGTTTTCCTTCAATAATTAGAACTAAAATAAAAAATGGAGTAGAAAGCCATTTAACAATCACTTTAATACGAAAACACGACCTTAACTGTATTATTTTTTGTTTAATTCATAATGCCTCCATTAAATTGATTAGTATACATATATACTTGACAGGCTCTTGCTTTGTAAATATTATAAATCCATAAATCTGAACCATTAACCTCCTTGTATAGCTTTAACTTAGTGCTCAGTATGCAAAGACACCTAAGGCACGTTCAAATGTTGACCCTTTTAGACCGATACGATACGATCTGCCACACGGTGATAACTTTATTCAGCTTTAAATTTTGTTTAACATCTCCCAACAATATCCCACCTAACACAAAAGGCCTATGGACAGGACCCTCGACCAAAAGGATCGAAAGCGTCCATTGAAATTGAAAAATTTACGTGAAAAACATGCAAATTTATGCCATAAACACAATGAGTGTAATGTGCGAGCTGGAGGACCTCGAAAAAAAAAACGAAAACGAGAAAGAGAAAGAGAAAGCACACCTCAACCTGTGTAAACTTATGGCCTGACAGTTTTAACCGCATTCAGGGGACGATTTGTAGGCCGCACGACCAGGCCCGAAAAAAAGTACGCAAAAGAGAAATTTATATAAAACAGTCCATTTTTTGCGGCAAACACAGTGGCCACCTACTTTTTTTCGTGCCTGCTCTGACATTTTATTGACAAAATTATTGAACACGTTTTGACCGTGGCACACAAATCTAGCCATACACAGGAAAAAATTATAATCAAATGATTATTTTTGTGATGACTTTTCATAAAATTTTGGAACAGATAAATTGATATGCTTTTCGCATTATCATTATAATTATATATATATTTTAAGAAATTTGATATTATCCCTGAATTGCGATAAACATTTTTTTTAGGTTTGGGTTTATCAATTTAAATTCTAGTTGATATTTTTCTCTGTGGCGGCTGTGGCAACATAATGGCGATACCTCTATAAAGGCGTCCATTGTCAAACGCCCCAGGTCATGGGGGCGTGACGGGGGCAGAAAGGCGGAGGGGCGTGGCTGAGTGGTATAATGGTAGTTGAGGCGCCGCGCGTCGACCATTGAATTTATATGAATTTATAATTGAAAATTAAACAACTTGCCAAACATGTTTGTTAATTGCCGGAAGCTTAAATGCTCTTTTTTAAAACTTAAATTTAAATTTCACTTTACAAAAATATTAAAATATTAATGATGTTGAGCCAAATATGGACAAAAAGGATTTTCAAGAGGAAATGTTCGAAACGAACATAAATTTACTTATAACAATTATATTATTTATTCAAAATAAATTTTATTTTAAAAATTTTATTTTTTCTATAAAATGTTCAACATATTTAATTGTATAATGAGGTTAAAATGAATAAGCTTTAAACTAAATGCGGTCAACAAACTAATTTCTTGGCAGATTAATATAATTTTGTACCAATTATTAGCACCTGCCCATAATTTGCTTTATAATGTATTGCCTATTTAATTTACCCCGAAATGGGATTGCCCCAAAAGAGTAAGTCAAGCACGTTGAGTGCAGGTCGGCCACGTTGCATTTATAATGACAAATGCATTTTTGATAAAACCTGCTGAGCGTCAAAACTCGCATTTGTGTGTGTGTGTGCTCTGGCAAGTGTGTGCGTGTATTCCGGCTAATTTGTTTGCTCGCATTCAAAATGGAGTGTATGTGTTTGTGTGAAAGCGATATGTCAATTTGGAACACACCCGCACGACATACCTATCAAATTTATTATACAACACATCCACGCTCCCGTTGAGCAGGATAAGCCACCCGACCACTCAACATTTCATTTCATCGGAGCCACCCACCGTGAGCTGTTGCCTTTTGTTCGCCGATAAACTTAATTTGAATAATAAATTACGTTGATATTTAATCAGCGTTGTCCTGCGATAAAATCCAATGGCCCCCGAGAAAAGCGGGAGCCAATGTACAAACGGGTTGGGGGTCAAAGCGACTGTCGTGCAGCTGATAATGGTTAAGCCGAGGGTCCTGCCAGCGAATCCTTTGCACGCACTGGCCATAAACTGCATGAAGCCATTATCGTTAAGCGGAATTTGTGTTAATCTGATAACAAAATTATGAACAATTAAGTCATTGCATGCGAATTGAAAATTTAAACAGCCACAGTTCAACAAAAAGTGCGACCTGAAGTGAGTTCAAAGCGACATTAATGCGCACACTTTAAAAATAATTGGCAACTTGATATAGAAACCAATGAAAACATACAAAATTAAAAAATAAACATTGGTTTACTAAGAAACCATTACAAAAATTACAAAGTCCATATTATGTTTGCAAAGCAAAATCCGATGAATTTAAGGATGTAGGAAACAAACTTTTCAGTGCACACTTACACGGTTAAAAAAAATGTTCATGTATAAATGTCTGTTTATGTACACAAATATGGGTGTAATAATCATGGACCGTGAGGCCAATGCACTCGGGAAAAACCCAGACATCGCACAATGAGAGACAAATGCAAATTAAGCCAGTAAACAATGCCGCATATTCATATGCCACTGGCGGCGGCACAAATAAATTGGCCTAAAAATATAAAAAGACTAAAGCCAACAACGCCACAACAACAATAAAAGTTGTACATTTCGCTTACATGGCAATTATGTTAAAATATTCAGACAGAAATGCGATGCGAGAAATGTGAACAGGTGAGACATAATGACTGCCAGATGACCTTTATGGCAGGAACAGGATGATGGCTTTGTTATGAATGTTATTTGTATATATCAAGTAGTCTTTAAATGTTTCCTATTTACTAGATAAAGATAAAACCTGTAAAGCTGTATTCAGTATCTCCCCATAACCCTAATTATGTAAAGGTGATGTCTAAAATATTTGTGTCACAATCATAGTTGCCGTTTTTATACATTTGCCTTGTTTACAAATTCTAATAGCATTCTTTAAGTAAGAAATAAATAAAAAAAACAATTAATATATTTTAAAAGATCACAAAGACTTACAAGACTATACAACACAAAAATCGCTAACAAAAAGGACACGGAACCTAATGAATGGTAAAATGTAGAATAAACCATAGGCAAGGGCTAGTACCCAACAGAAATAGCTGAAATTGGCCAACAAATGCGCAATAGAGTCATTAGAAGTCAAGTGCAGCTCACAGCTGGAAAGTATGCCACGATGTATAGTATTGGTCCTGTTTTTGAATTCGTGTGCGTGTGTGGGTGTGCAACATATGTTTCGCATGCAATTTCATTAAATAAA